GGAACTGTAGCAAAGGCTTTGGAGTTCAACATCCAAGGAATTGGGGTGGGTTCTGCTTTGCAAGGGATAGAGAAGGCAGTAGCTAACATCTTGTTTTACATTACTTAGTCAAGGAAATGCAAAAGAAATTGTGATCTGGGTGTTGTGTCTGTTAAACAGAACTCTTCTAAGAACTACCCTAGAGGGAAGTAAATTTCCCATCACTACAGAGTTTTCTGTATTGGTGACTACTAGGATTCAAACTTTAAAGTGAGTATGATTCAGGAGGTACAGCACAGTGAGGCCAAAAAAAAAAAAAAGGAAATGAAAGGTATAATGACTACAAAAGTAGAAACAAAATAGAATTTTTCACTAGGAGAATATTGTCTTCAGAACAATTCAAAGACTCATCAGATAAATTATTAGAGTTAGTAGGTTATTTTAGCAAGGTTGATAGATACAAAAACAGCTTAAAAAGATTATTGCATTTCTGTATGTTGGGCACAAACAGAAAATGTAATAATACTTTTAAAAATACACCATTTACAATAGCATCCAAAATGTAAATTACCTACAAATAAATTTCACAAAATACTTATATGATCTTTAGAGAAAAATATAAAAATGTTTGAAGACATTAAAAGGAAATAGCTTAAATTAGTGAAGAAATAGGATCAATGCATTAAAAGGCTTAGTAATGTAAAGATGTCAATACTCCCCAAACTGATACATAGATTCAATGCAATTCCAATAAAAATCCCAACAGGTTTTTTGTGGAACTTGACAAGCTGATTCTAAAATTTATATGGAGGAGAAAAAGATCCAAGAATAGCCAAGACATTCCCGAAGAAGAAGAACAAGGTGAGGAGAATTGCCTTACCAGATAAAACAAGTTATTATAAAATTTAGTAATTAAGATAGTTTTATAGTGGCACCGGGACAGAGATTGACCCATGGAATAGAGAGCCCAGAAGCACATCCATGTATAAATGGAAACCTGTTTTTTTAACAGAAATGATGCTGCCATTTGGTTGGGGAAAGAATGGCCTTTATAATAAATAGTGCTGGATAGTCAGACAACTCTATGGGAGTAGATGAAATGGCATATTTGTCTCATATTAAACACAAACATCAATTCTAGTTGACATAGCAAAGAAATGTAAAGTACAGGATTATAAAATGTAAATTCAATAACGTAGAAAAATATATTTAATCTCACTGTAAGGATTTCTTAAGCCTTAAAGTGTTGCTAAAGAGAAAGATTGAAGAATTTGACTATATAAGAATGCAAAAAATTCTTTTTGTAAGTAGATACCAAAAAAAGTGAAAGGGTAAGTCATAAACTTGGTAAGAGAGAATTTTTAACACAGATAACTGATGAAAGATGAGAGAAGAAAATAAGCAATCCAGTAGGACAATGAGAAACACACTAGTCTAAACTTCATATAAGAGGAAATGCTTTGGCCAGTAAACTGTGAAAGGTGATGAGCCCATTAATAAACAGAGAAGTGTAAGTTAAAACAAGTGGAACATTTTATATTTCTGAAGGAGAGTAAACTGGTACAACTACATTGAGAAACAATTATCTGAAATTCTTATACATGTGCATAGGAAACACATACAAATGCATGATCAGAGGAGGAATGTTAACTGTAACAACCCAAGTGTTCATCAGTAGTAGAATAGAAAGATAGGTTTTGATATGGTTAAGAAAATTACACAGTAAAGAAAACAAGTGTCAGTTACAATAATCCAGATGACCCTTAAGAACATAACGTTGAACAAAAAAAGCAAGTCGCCATTTTATTATGATTCCGTTTTCATAAAAAAAATCCAAGAAAATAGTAATAGGTTAACGATATAAAAATATTTGAATATAAGTAAATTAAGGTAATGGTAAACAAAATTCCAAGTTTACCTATGAGAGGGAAGGAAGAGATCATAAGGAGTAGAGGAGCCCAAAGAGAACTTCGAAGTCAAATTGGATGATGGTTCCACCTTTTTAAATAAATTTTGAAAAACTTTTAACTGACTTTTTTTTTTCCTGTGTGAGTACTTAGCCCTAGGTTCCAGTTAAGGCTTAAGCAAGAGATGAAATAGTCTTTGATGCCATCTAGTGTTTCTGGAGAATGTAACATCTAGACTTCTGGTTCTGCTACTCCTTCCTAGCTCTATGAGATAGGTTTTCAGAATAGAAACTCAGTGCAATATAGAGTTCTACTTGTTTTCACCTCTGACTTAGGCTTTTCAGATTGAACCTTTGTATCTAATGCTATGTTCTGCCAGGAAGCCCTCTCCTAGTGAACAATGGCTCCTGTTTCTTCCAAACTTTCCTTTTAGGAGCCTTAGCCCACCTAGAAAGCTAGTTTTTCTTTATCATGACTGGAGGAGGAAGGAATGCTGATAAGTCAATGTGAGGTGATAGTCATTATCATTGCTGATTCTTCTGTATTAAAGACTGTTTTCAAGAGTCTTGATGTCACTACCTCTGTTTTACATCATTTTAGTGTATGGAGCTGTAGGAATTTAAAAATTTTAGAGAAGGATATGCCTCTGGGTTAGACCCAAAGACAAAAAAACTGGTTCTTCCTGCCCTGAGCCAAGATGGAAACCTATGTGAAGGAAAAAAAACAAAGTATCTGTGAATTGGAAAATTCCAGCCTTAAGTATGATTTCTGTTCCATGTATAAGAGTCCAGTGCAAAAAGAAAAGGGAAACTCTTCTCCCCTGTATGTATTAACAACATAGGGTCCAAGGGAATTGCCCCTCTTTTAAAAATAACATGCAGAACCTCTAAGGTTTTAACTTTAAAAGGAAAAATGTCTTAAGTAGATAAGGGCAGGTAGATGTTAAGACCCTGATTCCCCTTATCTTTAGGTCTTTCAGTTGAATTTCTCCTACCACTATCATGCTGGTTCCCAAGAAATACATTTACTCTCTTCGTAAAAAGTACTGCTTTCATCTGGCAAAATTGGTTTCTGTTGGGCTGCCATTTCCCAATTATTTCATCATACTTTTTTTTTTTCAAAGCCAGAAACCTAAGAACCACTCTTTAGTCCTCTATAGCTCTCTACCTTCCCTTTCATACATTTTTTTTTTTTCCCCTCTCATGGTATTTGAACTCAGGGCTTCTGGGCTTCATGCTTGCTAGGCAGGCACTTAACCACTTGAGCCCTTCTGTCCATCTCTAAGTCCAGTAACTCTGACTTCAGAATATACTTCAAATACATCTGTTTCTTTATACTATCATCTACATTTCCACTCCATAATTGGGTTCTTGCCTCTCTTATTTTCCAGATAGCAATCGAGTGATTCTTTATCTTGTAAATCAGATCATATTTTTAAAGCCTTCATTGGTTTCCTCATGCACATAAAGTCCAAACTCCATATTCAGGAATACACATAGAAATGAATAGGCTGACCTTGCCAAACTCATGTCTTCCCAATTTCTCCTGCCGTCCCCATCAGCTTCTTGTGTATGACATGACACCCTCACTGACCTTTTGGTCCTCTCACAGAAGAGCCTTCTCCTGCCTCTAGGCCATCACAGATGCTGTGCTGTATGTCTGGAACACTGTCTTCCATTATCATCCTTCCTTAAAGATACCTTAATCTAAATTTGGCCCTTTCTAACACCTGATCTCCAAGAACATTCTGTTCTTTCATTGCATTCGTCATGGTATATCATTAAATATTTGTTTTATTTGTTTAATGTCTTTTACCCACAAGTTTGTATCATCCATGAGGGCAAGAACTATATGTGTTTGATTCACTACTGTTTGCTCTATACTTGGCTTGATACCTCACCTAATAAGTACACAATACATATTTGAAAGAATGAATGAAAAGAAATACATGAGCCATAATGTATTTAACTGTTCCCCTACTGTTAAATACTAAGGTTGTTCTCAGTTTGGAGCCATTCTAAATAATAATGAGGTAAATGAGGTAAACATAGAGTAAATTCTCAGAAATGGAGTTGCTAGGTCAAAAGGTATGACTATTTTTAAGGTTCATAAAACTTATTTCCAAATCACCTATCAGAATGATCATCCAGGTTGGGGCTAATGGAGTAGCTCAAACAGTAGAACACCTGCCTAGCAAGCATGAGGCCCCGAGATCAAACCCTCACTACCACTAAAAAGAAAGATTATCCAGGTTGGAATCTTAAACTACTTCCCTTTTTGGTTTCTTAGTTTTGAACATACGGAACATACAGAAGAACAGTTCAAAGAAAGTTCAGTCCCCCACTTTAATCAAACTCACTTATTGTGCCACACCTGAGATTATCTCATTCACTTCTTATGTGGTAGGTATTATTATCTCAGTGTTAAAGATAAGGAAACATGGGCCTAGAAAGTTTAATGGATTTACTCATGTTCGTTCATACAATGTGGCTATCTCATGTCAAAAAACATTTTATGCTTGCCCCCTTACTTCCCTGTACTAGCCACGTTATATTTACTCTAAAACGACTGCACACTCAATGTCATCTCATCTAACTCTTCTGTTTCCCAACTGCTACATGTTTGTGACAGTTCTCCCTCCACCCACTAGTCCTCGCTTCCTTGCCACATAATGTTAGAGGGTAGGATGCTATGCCCCTCTGGACAAACCCCTAGAGAGAGCCTAAATCACTTGACTACCCAGAGTCCTGTGGTTCACTCTGAGATGCTTCTCTTCTTTACGTGGTGGTTAGCAAGAATAAGTGGCCTTTTTTTTTTTTTTCTTTATGACCGCTGCCCCAATTTATAGGGTAGGCTGTTTTAACCCAGCCTTGTAACAAGCCCCTAATAATATAGAAATTATATGAAGACCACATGTTCTCTCTCCTGGGGATTCTTGGTGTTAAACTTTAAGGAGCTTACTGCTATTTAGGGGAGAGGTGCATTCTCTATGTTAGGCTGCAATTGTTCACACACTGCCAAAACGTAGAACTTGGTGCCACATCAAGGTTTGATGAAGCAGACTGCATGTTTGATGCTTATCCCTATTAATAAAGCCTCTCATTTCTTTTTCAGGCTCTTCCTGCTTGTCCTATCCAGGCCACCTGTGAGGCTGCCTCCAAGGAGGAAAACAAGGAAAAAAATCGATATGTAAACATCTTGCCTTGTGAGTGTTCTGTAAGGTTTCTTGGAATGTAAGCTGAAACTACATCTGTGGCTGGATTCTCCAGGATGGGAAAAATCCTGCAGTTGGTCACAGGAGGGCATAACTAGAATAGGGTCAGTCCATAGGGCTAAAAGGGTCTTTTAGGCTCTCCTGGGTAACCCTGCAGAGTCAATTGGGGTGGTTGATCAGGACTTTTGTTGCAGGCCTAAAGTTTCTAGAGACTAGGGAGGGTAACTTCATAGGCTCAGACAGGATGTTGGTTTTTGTGGTAGTTTTTTGTAAGTGCTCATTGAAAGAAATTCCGATAGAGTTTTCTTCCAATACAGAATAACTCTTTCCAGAGTTAGCAATAGTATCCAGAATGGGATGTACATAATCCAGTAAGGTGTGAGAGGAAGATATTTGAATTTAGCTTTATTTTTTATTGGTTTTTTAAATTTATTCTTTTAGAATTTTCGTATCTTGGAGCTTATAATTGTGCGTCAGTTGTCAATAAATGAGCATAGCTGGTGGAGTGACTCAAGTGTTAGAATGCCTGCCTAGCAGAATGAGGTCCTGAGTTCAAACCCCAGGTACCACACACACACACACACACACCACACACACAAAAAAAAAAAGGAAAGAAAAGAAAAAAGTTTTCCTAGCCAGGCACTGGTTTTTCATGCCTATAATCCTGGCTATTTGGGAGGCTGAGATCCAGAGGATTGTGGTTCAAGGCCAGCCAGGGCAAATCGTTCATAAGACCCAGAGGAAAATGGACTGGAGGTGTGTTTCAAACAAGAAAACCACACAAAGCCCTGAGTTCAAACCCCAGTCTCACCAAAAAAATGAAAGATTTTCCTTTTTATGAACTGTTTAGAATTTCATTCTATGGGTTTTTATAGAACCCTAGTAATAGTTGAGATGTTTTTAAATTTGAATGCTAAAAATAGCAGTGGAGTGACATCTTTGTGTGTCACTCCAGATGACTCCACTTACTGCATCAAGAGCAGTATGAAAAAAAAATTGGATTTATTGAAATATTAATTGCTGGGTTTTTTCCAGATGACCACTCTCGAGTCCACCTGACACCTGTTGAAGGAGTTCCAGATTCTGATTACATCAATGCTTCATTCATCAATGTAAGGAACTCATGCTTTTCTCAGTTACCTTTGTGAAAGGGTATTGGCTACTATATATTGACTCCTTCCCAGTCGTGTGTTGGAAGGGATATTTGCCATCTGAAGTTTTCCCTAAGAAGTCTGATTTTTTTTAAGTGACTGATTTTTTTTTTAGATCAATCATATTTTTAAATGTATTTTAGGTTATTCTATTATCATTACCAAAGGCTGCCCTTGTAGAAAGCTGAACCTAAATATGTATTTTTCTGTGAATCAGTGAACTCTTTGTTGAGCTTTTTCAAATAACTACAAACAAGAGCAGGCCTTGCCCTCAATTATAAAAATAAGGGAGAGTAGGACAAGAATACCTAAACTCCAAGTAAGTCTGTTTGGTCATGTCTACTATGAACCAAGGCCTAAAGGAAGGAAAGTGGTCCCAGGACCACTTGTGGTGACAGGGAGGGAGAGATGGGGTCTGTAGTTTGGGGAGCACAAAGGTTAGCTAACCTGATGTTGATCACAGGAGGAGATAAAGCAGAGCCAGTAGAATAGTTAGTAAGTGGGCATCTAGCCTAATCTTAAGAAGAACCAGTTTTCTTACTTGTCTTTAGATGTCTAAGAGCACATAGAGCTTTCAAAAAAAAAAAAAAAAAAAGTTTCCATCACTGGTAGGAATGTAGCTTCCACTTAGAGCCTGCCAGAATTCAGCTTTCAGAATCTCGGGTGCCAATTTCATCTATCCCTTGAACATAGCACAAGGAAGGTTAGTAGTTTTGCCTCTTTTTTGTTATACTTATTAAGCAATGCCATCTATATCACTCAATAGACACACTTTCATAGGGGCATATGATCTCCTGGTAAAAATAGAGCAGGAAACACTTTGGAGCTCCCCTTCCACATGTTCCCTTAAGCTTTCCGGGCCCACTTGATCCAGTGAGAATTTAACAGTTAGCTTCTCTTGGAGTTGGAGTATGATGTGCTTTTAACATGCTCTTAAAAACTTACCAGTTTTTTGTTTGGTTGGTTGGTTGATTGGTTTTGTTTTGTTTTGTTTTTTGTTTTTGTTTCTGGTGGTACTGGGGGTTGAACTCGGGGCCTTGCACTTGCTAGGCAGGCAGTCTTATCACTTGAGCCACTCCACCAGCCCAAGAAGCTGCCAGTTTTAATTACAAGTTTAGAACATAAGCAGAATTCATCGTCCTGAATTTAAGCAATTTCCATCTTTTAATGATTAAAAGCACTTGCTGAAGGGCTGGGTTAGTGATATGGCTCAGTAGTAAAAGAGCTTGCCTAGCATGCATGAGGATTCAATCCCCAGCACTGCAAAAAACTCAGTAACAAACTTCCTGTTGCTGACTCTTAACATATCTGTCTCCCGATTCCTAGAGTTTTCTTCTTCTGTGTGGGAAAGCAACTCTAACTCGTCTCTGCTTTTGTTTGAACTAGAATAGGAAATGTCTTCTTAGATTTTGATCCTGTCTTTTATTTAGCCACTACTTTACAGACTTGTACTTCATATGGTCAACTTGGTGTGACCTGATATCCTATCTAAGCTGTCTCCCTCATTGCTTATCTTACTGCTCTCTGAGAGGGCCAGAGGGCAATGTACAATCCTTAAATCAGATAATTTTTCACATTCCTAAAACGACTAAAGTGAGCACTACATTTAAACAATGAGATTGAAATGATGAACAACTAAAACAATAGTGAAAAAGAAAGTTGCTTCCAGTTTTAGTTTTTCATTTACCTGTTGAGTGGGATCCACATGCCCTTTTGCTTCTTGTCTAACATTGTCTGTAATGGAGCAGCTCATTGTCAAATACTGGCTGTTGCCAAAAATTTTTTGGACCTGCGTAAAGTATCCTCAAGAAAATATCTTTGTCCTTCCCAGTGTCCTTCCCAGTTTCCTCCCTGGAACCACCTTATATGCTCCTGCCCTGAAAGCTTCTTCCCATTAACACTAAAACCTACATGGTCAACTGCTGATAAAACATCAGAAACATGGACTAACCTAAGAGTTAGTATTTGGATATTCTTGTGCCAATAATAATTCCCCTAGACCATTTAAATTTTGTAATCTTTGATTCTTGTCTTCAAAGTAATCCTTTGGGAATTTTAGGGCTGGAAATCCTTATTAATTAGCTGGACCTTTTCACAAGGGAGGCTTTGTTAACTGGTTGGGAATTAGACTAGAGAATTTCACTGTTAGCAACTTTTGGTTTTTACTTTTCTTTTTTGTACCCTTACCCTTACCCCAGGGCTACCAAGAAAAGAACAAATTCATTGCTGCACAAGGTAAAGTAATGACAACTTTTTATTCTTAAACTTAACCATGCTACCATTAATGGGTTTGTGAGGTTTTTGGGGCTTTCTTTTCCAAAATGGATTAATGAGAATGCAATAGCTTTTCTATAATTATTACCACCTAAAAGAAGTGGAGCCGGGTGCCAGTGGCTCACACTTGTAATACTAGCTACTCAGGAGGCAGCGATCAGGAGGATCATGGTTCAGAGCCAACCCAGACAAATAGTTTGAGAGACCCTATCTTGAGGAAAAAAAAAAAAAAATCACAAAAATAGGGCTGGTGGAGTGACTCAAGGTAAAGACCCTGAGTTCAAACCCCAGTACCACAAAAAAAAAAAAGAAATGGAATACATACGCTTTATAGGTTTATAACTAAGGACATTCATCTTAATGACTTAGTATCCAAGGGTTCTTTAAAAGAAGTCCTTTTGTATAGGTATGTTAAAAAGGCTGGAGAAGACGAAACACACAGTGCAGTCTGATGAGGCCCTCTGTCCTTCAGGCCATTTAACCTTAGGTTCTGGCCTTGCTGCTCAGTTTGAGTTTGGAAACATTCTCCACAGAGGATCAGCCACTTCACAGGTCTGAGCTGATTTTCTTCTCTCTACTCATAGGCCAGAGCTCCACTGTTACTCACAGATAGGTGGTCTAGGGCCCTCAGAGCAGGGCTCAGTGCCTTGATCCTATACATACTCTGCACATATTTCCATAGCCTGTTTTAATGAGGTCTTCACTCTTGGAATCCTAGCAAAAATATTTCAATGTTTTCAGCATTGAAAAGTTATTGTGATGTTGCTGTGGTTCACCAAAGCTGATTTATTCAGTCCTTCAATAGATATGTATTGACCATCTATTATGTGCCAGGTACTGACCTAAATAATGGAGATATGAGGGAAGTAAAATAATGGTCCCTGTCTTTTTGGAGCCTTTAGTTGGTAAAAGAAAGTTTACAGCACATAAATATATTAACAGAAGTATTGATAAGTGACCATGCTGTTCATTTTGATGGTCACTAGCCACGTGACTATTAAAAAAAATAAAAGGGGGGATTATTGGGATTTGGACCTCCACTTGCTAGGCAGGTGGGCACTCTACCACTTGAGCCATGCCAAAAGCCCTAAAATTAAATTTCTAAGGGGCTAGGAATGGCTTAGTGGTAGAGCACTTGCCTAGCATGCACAAGGCCCTGGGTTCAATCCCCACCACTGAAAAGGAAAAGGAAAAGGGGGAAGAAAAAAAAAAACTTTGTTTATTAAAAATTTACATTTAAATTTTGATTCCTTGATCATACTGGTGACATTTTAAGTCTCAATAGCCACATTTTTCTAAAAAGTCTATCAGATTAGTACAGACATAAAAATTTCCATCTATTAGACAATACTGTTATAGTGAAAGATAATGGCAAAAGTAAGGTTGTCAGGGAAAGTCTCAGATCTTCCTTGCACCTGTAGTCTCCCATGGATCCTGACTGTTGTCCAATGAGAGGCCCTGCTTTTACCCCCCTGTAGCTATCTGTCAGTCCACCCTACAAGGCCCAGTTCAGACACCACCTACTCAGTGGTGATTGTGCTACCATCAGCCACGAGCAGTCTCTTCCCCTCTTTATTCACCTGGTTGTTGATGCTAAAATATTCCTTGAATTAAGGTCATCTGATTTTTTTGATGGCCCTTTCTCAGATTTCATCCTCTAAAACCTCTCCACAGTGCTTCACACTTCTTGAAACTCTTCTCCATTATTTCCTGATACTTAGTTCTCTTGACTTTTCATTTTTCTTAATGTTCCTCTCGTTCTTTTTTCTGTCCCTTACGTACATTTAATTTCCCCTAATTTGTAGATAGTCACTTCCTAAAACTCCGTATTTGTCTTTCCTGGCCCCATTTCCTCTCAGTTCTCCTGATCTCATCTATGCTCCCTAATCTTCCCAGGCTTTTTATTCTGTCTGAACTTGAATAATGCTGAGGATCTCTAGCATTCTTTATTTGACCCCTCTTTTTTTCCCCCAATGTGTTCTCTGTGAAAGGCCTCATTTATATTCACCTCTGACTGGCTGCTGCCTTTCTTGAGCTCCTGAGCCACATTTTCAGACCATTTTGTACACCTCCAACTGGATAGCCCAAGACTGTTTAGATTCAATATCAGAAACTAAGATATGATTTTTACTCAGCACCAAAACAGCTTTTTGTCCTGTATTTTTCTGGCTGTAAAGAAGATTAGAATTTAATCCTAATTATTAGCAAGCCAGACTCAGGATCATTCAGATCTACTGTCTGTCCCTTATTCCTGTTTCCAAAATCTGTCTTCCCTGACACACCCATCTTTCCTGTCTTCCCATCTTTCCTTCCAGCTCCTGATTTCTACCTGATTTGTGCCTCTGCCCAAGCCTTGCTTCCTACATTCCTACCCCCACATTGACCTTCCTTTATGCAGAACTATAATCAGGACTCTCATGAAAGTCCTGTGAGGATTTTTCATTCTTCATAAGCTTTGCTTAGCTCAGCCTTCACTCCTTTAGATTCTTCTACTTTTCCAGCACCATCTTCTTCTATCACTCCCTGTACCCTACAATGGCCTTGATGAACCTCCTCATAGATCCTAGGCATCTCCTCTTTCTTACTGCCAGTTCCCCTGCCACACACACCTCTGCTTGGAGTGCCTCTCTTCTCCCATCTACTTGATCTAGCCTAAGATATTCAAATATCATCTCCACAGGACATAGTCCGGACCCTGGCTAGCAGTGAAGCACTTCCACAAGCTCCTGTAAACCTTTCTGATGTTGTGTCTATTTCTGTTACTGTTTGTTTTTCTTTCAGTATGGCACATTTGACAAATTTGCATGTTTTCCTTGCCCAGGGGCCATGCTTGTCTTCTTTGTATTGCTCCAGTTTTAGTATATGTGCTGCTGAAATGAGCACTTTCTTCTTAAGACTGTTTTGTTTTGAACTGGGGATGTAGCTAAGTGGTAGACCACATGCAAGGCCCTGGGTTCAATCCCTAGCACCAAAAAAAAAAGTTTTGTTTTACTTTTACCAAAGGGAATAATTTGAGGAACAAAAGCCAGAGAGGGAATGTTTAAAACAGTGAGGAGAACGAAGAGTACAAAAGGCAAGAAATAATGGATGAAAGTGGCAAGGAGAAAAATTTAACAAAGTCTCAGGGAACTGGGGTTGTGGCTCAAGTGGTGGAGCACCTGCCTAGCAAGTAGAAGGGCCTGAGTTCAAACCCCAGTACCACCTAAAAAAAATAAAATAAAAAATGAATTGGGTATGATGGCCTATACCTGTAATCCCAGCGCTCTGGAGGCTAAGAGGGATCAAGTGTTGGTGGAGTGGCTCAAGCAGCAAAACTGCCTGCCTAGCAAGCATGAAGGCCTGAGTTCAAACCCCATACCACCAAAAAAAAAAAAAAGGGGAAAAAAAAAACAGTTTAAAGCCAACCTGGACTAAATAGCAAGATCCTGTCTCCAAAAAAAGGACTACAAGACTTATAAAAACAAATCTCTCCTACCTTATCCCATCTTCCATCACAATTCTGAATTAAGGTAATATTTGCTATTTCTATCACAGTGACTTTACAAATATTACAACTGCTACTATATTTTGTACAATTTTCCCCCTATTCCAGTTGTTTCCTTGTTTTCCTAATGATTTAGTTTTCTTTTATATAAAATACCACTGGTTTTCCCCCAAAACTCTTTAATAGAAGTATATATCTCCTTTCAGTACCTTCACATACATGAGGTTTAATTTTTTAAAGTTTAATTTTTTTGTCCTAAGTTCCTTAACTTTCTAAGACTTCATTCACCATCACCCTGGGAATTCCATTAGCCTCTCTGCTATTAGGTCCCATTTCTTTCTCTTTGTATACAGCCTCATTTTAATTTAGAATCTTCTTGTGACTTCCTGAAAAATCCAGCCTGACCAAGTCACTCAGACCTTTCTGGGGCTGATGATACCTGCCTCAGAGCATGATAGGAAGAAGCACATGCCATATCAAGCACTGAGTTTATTATGTGGATCATAATGTAGGTATTTAGTAAACAGTCATGATTTCTAATACTCAACTATACTGTCCTTGGGAAACTACTGTGTTCTATTCTATTTTGGCAGCCTCCCACACACAGTCCTTGTCAAGTGTCATGGTGGATACATGAGAAACATTTAGTTAATAGGTGTATAGATGGATGGATAGGTAGGTTGGATAGTCAGCTAGGAACATATAGACACAGAGTTCTAAAAGTCAAGAATAGATATTCCCAATTTCCTAGCATCTTTCTTCTCCTTAGTTTGTGTTCTTATCTTTGCTATTGGCTACTTTAGGACCAAAAGAAGAAACAGTGAATGATTTCTGGAGGATGATCTGGGAACAAAACACAGCCACTATTGTCATGGTAACCAACCTGAAGGAGAGAAAAGAGGTGAGTGGCAGGCTAGAAGGGAGGAGGGTGGCTAAAGTGGTAGAGTGCCTGCCTAGCAAGTGCAAGACCTGAGTTCAAACAGAAGTGATTAGAGAAATTAGATAGCAGGGTGGCTTCTGTGCTGGAACACTGAGTTTCAGCCTGCTGTCTACCTTCTGTGGTTGCTATGCCAGTAGGTCATCCAGACAGATACAGGCTAATGTGTCCACCAGACTTTCCTGTGACTTAGAAGCCTCAAATGAACCTCAGAGGTGTTCCCGATATATTACCATGCCTGATAGTTAAATAACTCACTCTGGTTCCAAAACAACTGGGAACATGTTTATTGTAGCATTATTCACAGTAGCTAAGCTATGGACACAGCCAAGAGACCCCACAACTGTTGAATGGATTAGAAAACTGTGGTACTTACATTCAATGAAATTTTATTCAGCCATAAAGAAGAATGAAATTTTGTTGTTAGCAAGTAAATGGATGGAACTGGAGAATATCTTAAGTGAAGTTAGCCAGGTCCAGAAAGCCAAAAGCCACATGTTTTCTCTCATGTAAAATATAGGCCCAATCCAAATATAGGCAATATTATACTTTCCCTTAGTATTAGGTCATACTAAGGGAAAGTCACTAATGGGAGAAGGAGGGTAAAAGAAGGAAGTTAAAGGATGGAGATTGAATGTAGTGGAAATATTATGTACTCCGTACGAAAATGGAAAAATTAAATATGTTGAAACTGTTCCGGGAATGGGGGTAGGGGAGATATGATGGAAGGGGTGAATCCAACTATGATACATTGTAAGAACTTTTGTAAATACCACAACATACCTCCAGTACAATAACAATTAAATAAATAAATAGAAGGAAGTTAAGGTGAATATGGGTGAGGTACTTTCCATACAAGAATGAACATAGATGTTTTAAACCTGTTGAAATCACCATAAGAAGAGGATTAAGGTAGAAAGAAGATGAACCCAGGTTATAATACATATATACATGGAAATGTCACAAAAGTTTCACAATGAAACTTTAAACAAAAATGTCTTTTTTCAAAAACAGAGAATAGGAAGATAAAACAGGTCCTATCTGGGTGTTGGTACCAGTGGGAGGGGGAGAATATAAGGAAAGGGTGTAGGAGGATGAATCTGGTGGAAATACTATGTTCTCATGTATGAAAATGGAAAAATGAGACCTGTTGAAACTATTCCAAGTACTGGGGAGAGAAAAAAATAAAGGAGAATGAAGTGAATTCAACTATGATACATTGTAAAAACTTTTGTAAATGTTACAGTGTACCCCTAGTACAACAGTACTTTAAAAAAAAAAACTGAGAAGGTAGACTTGGGCCAGTTCTTAAAGCCACAGAACTGGCTTTTCTAGTCCCTCATTCCCCTGGTTTCCTGCCCCACTTCCCCAGACCTTGGGTACATTCTCAAGTCAGCAGAGGGAGCTGTAAGAACTGAGACCCTGCAGAAATGCAGGGGGATCTGAAGCACTAACTTGATCCTACAGGCAGCCTCTGACTGCTCCTCTTTCTTTTGTAGCTGCCTAGTGTATTCCTGGCCTGGCCAGCTCTGCCATTGCACCACAGCCAATGCTAGTCCTGGGTCCTGGATCAACCCCCAGAGAGGAATCCCCGTTCATGATATTCTTTCTCAAGAATGGCCCAGGAGTCACTTGATCACCACCTAGGGTATTGGATGAGTTGATCAGTAGCTCCACAATGACTGGGGTTTTAAATAGTTACCTCCGTGTTGAGAGTATAACGCAGTGGTACAGTACTTGACTAGTATGTGTGAGACCCTAGGTTCAATCCCCAACACTGGGGGGAAAAAAAGTTATTTTACTAAATATTTAGTTTCCTTCTAGAAGCCGTCCAAGGCCTTAGGCTCAAGGAAGGTTTACAGTCTGCAATAATTCATCCAAAATAGCAGGCTGCTAGTTCCAGGGGTTCACACAGGGTTGCCTCTGGAATCTAACCTGGAATGTGGTGGAATTGCAGATTTGTGAGTAAATTGGTTTCAGATTTTTCCTGAACTTAGGGGAAGGGATTGGGAAAGATGGAGAAATAATGTGGCTAAGGCTGTATGTAGGTAAAGAGATTGGAAGCCGAGGAGTTTGATAAAAGGAAGTTAGAATAAGTAAATCTACAGCTGACTGAGGTGAGAGAAGAGGCCATAGGGCTTTCTGGGGGTTTTAGTGTCTGCTTTGTGATCCCTTCCTTTCAAACCCTTTGCATCTGCTAAGGGCAGTCTGAGGTGAAGTGTGTGTTTGTTTATTTCCAGTGTAAGTGTGCCCAGTATTGGCCAGACCAAGGCTGCTGGACCTATGGGAATATCCGTGTGTCTGTAGAGGATGTGACTGTCCTGGTGGACTACACAGTACGAAAGTTCTGCATTCAGCAGGTACTGTCTTCTGCCTCTTTTCCTGGTTCTCATTTAGGATCTGCTAAGAGTGCAGGAATAGGCTGGGTCATCCCCACTCTTATTCAGGATGCTCAGGAATTGTTGAGTGTGTAGTACATTTGGATTCTGAAACCAGAGATCCAGGCTCCAGAGAACTCTGTGAAAACTAAGTGAGCAGTGGTTTCATGATGAGGAGGAAAAGTACCTATTGAGATGGAGTTACCTTAGGTGCAACTAGGCCACACGGAAAGAAAGCATGGGATGTGAGGCAGTCTCCTGGTACTGGTCTCACCTCTCCTTTTCTGCTCCAAAGGCTCTTAACAGCAAGGATGTAGTGGCCTTGTTCTGGACCCTCCAGAGCAACCCTGGAGATCTGAAGCAAGGTTCCCTTTAGCTAAGGGCATGTAGTGTTATGGCAAGGGGACTTACCAAGACTCAAAAGTCCTACATTTTAGCTCTGACCTTGCCATTTATTAGTTCTGGGGCCTTAACCAGGTCATTTAAGTTCTGTGAGTTTCATCTTCATTGTAGGCTGAGGATGATAGGAACAGCTATGCCTAACCCATGGGATTACTGGGAAGATTCTCTTTCCATGATTAAAAGTTCCTTGGATACCCTCTCACTTCACTACTGCTGTACCCTCCCTCCCCTGGTACTGCCTACCCCTGGGTATCAAGGTAAACACAGGATCTCCTCACTTTACAGGTGGGTGACATGACCAACAGAAAACCACAGCGCCTCATCACTCAGTTCCACTTTACCAGCTGGCCAGACTTTGGTGTACCTTTCACTCCAATAGGAATGCTCAAGTTCCTCAAGAAGGTGAAGGCCTGTAACCCTCAATATGCAGGAGCCATCGTAGTCCACTGCAGGTCAGTGTGGCCTGACCCTTGGCTCCTACTTTTTCTCCTCTTGGTCAGAGCAGGGAAACAGCACAGGGATCCTGGCCATGGAGACTGACACAGAGCAGATGCACAAATGGATGCCAAGGTAGTAGCCAGAGACTCCTCAAGTTCTAATGAAGGGCAGAGAATATGACTTGAGGAAAGAAGGAAGGAAATTCAGTCCTCCAAATCTGAGATTGTGAAGACCTTGTTGTTAAGCCAGGAGGCTAGATTGAGTTCTGACTATATATCCTTGCCACCTTCAGACCAGTGCCCAGTCCTGATAGATAGAGGTTAGGAGTTCCCACCCAGCAGAGTGGAGTTGTTGGTTCTAAAAGAGTATCAGCTCTACTGCATTTGGAATTAGAATTTAGAGGCCTGGAGAAAGAACCTGAGCTGAAACTGTCCCCCTCCCCTCCACTGCCACAGTTCATGCTGACCATCACAGTAACCCCCTGCTCTCTGGCTACAGTGCAGGTGTAGGGCGCACAGGTACATTTGTCGTCATTGATGCCATGCTGGACATGATGCATACAGAGCGAAAAGTGGATGTATATGGCTTTGTGAGTCGAATTCGGGCCCAGCGCTGCCAGATGGTGCAAACAGACGTGAGTGATCTGTTATGGGTGAGCCTGGAGAGGGAGGTGCATTCCAGGGCAAAAACATCTGCCCACCTTAAGGGTTCAGTATCCCAGTCTGTTATAAATGATCATCATTCAGTGCGATGAAAGGCCCTTATAAAATATAGTTCAAGAAACAGAAAACAGAGGAAGTTACGGCTTTGTGCCTGTGGGAGTCAGGAAATAGCTGTTGTTTCCACTGGGCTTTAAGGATGAGGGAACAGTCCCCAAGAAAAGCAAGTGTGCCGGCACCTGTGGTCAAAATGCAACCACATCCAGGAGCAGCAGTGAGATGGACTCTGTGTTAAGGGCACAGAACTGACAGGGAGGCTGGCTGGGGACTGGAGCATCTCCAGCTTCTGGCAGCCCCTTCAGACTACAGAATCTGCCAGCACACCAAGGCAGAAATGGGGCCCCACCCCTCCCAAGTTAAGCACCCCTAGAGGGACACATGTATTTCAAGTTCTACTTCACTGAGTTGGGATAATTAGGGTGAATCATTTTATCCCTTCTGGGATCACAGGAGAAGTGAACTGGAATGAGGGGAGGAGAGAAGTGCTCTGGTGCCCCAAGGATTATTTATGTAATTGAGAACTCCACGTCGTCCATGTTTCAGATGCAATATGTCTTCATATACCAAGCCCTTCTGGAGCATTATCTCTATGGGGATACAGAACTGGAAGTGACCTCTCTAGAAACCCACCTGCAGAAAATTTATAACAAAATCCCTGGGACCAGCAACAATGGATTAGAGGAGGAGTTTAAGGTGAGTTGGGGCTGGATTACCGTCTCCAGGTTGAAGGATCCACACAATGTAGCGAATGTGGATCTGGGTAAATGCTGACTCCTGGTGCATTTACTAGCAGGAGTTGGGTGAGTCCCCTGGAGAGGCATGCCAGGGCTAAGGTGAACCTTTACTCCACCTGTCAGTCTCAACCCATCCAGCCAGTTAGAATCACTTGAATTGTTCTAGAAGGAAAGAAAAATAGGCAACAGTATTTTTTAAAGCCCCTCAGCCTTCCTACATGATTATAATGTACAGGACAAGCAAAGTTTTTCTGTAAGGGCCAGATAATAGATATTGTAGGCTTTGCAGGCCATATAGTCTCTGATCTAAATACTTAACACTGTCATTATAACCCAGAAGCAGCCATGGATAACATGTAAACAAATGACTGGAGCTGTTTCAATAAAACTTCATTTATAGGCAGCCTACCAGATTTGGCCTGTGAACCTTAGATTGCTCACTCTGCTGTATGCCATTAGACAGTGGCCCTCAGCTCACGATGGCTATGTCAGAGCTGGGGGTACAGCTCAGTGGTAGAGTTTGTGCTTACCATGCATGAGGCCCCAGGTCCAATCCCCAATACCCAAAAGAAAAAGAAAAAAACCTATGTCATGCTCTCATCAATAAGAAGCACTCCCAAAAGCAAGAAATTGTGGGTTGGGATGGTGAGGACCCTCTTCCTTTTTTAAGTAGTCCTTCTGATACAATAATGTGTACACAGATTCCTTGGGATCTGTCAGGATACAAGTTCTGATTCAGCAGGTCTGAGTTAGGACCTGAGATTGTGCATTTCAAACAAAATGAGATTAATACTGCCAATGTTTGGGCTACTTTGGGTAGCAGGGATCAAGAAGGGACCTCAGGATTGGAAAGGGAGAATGGAACATTTGAACTCTTTTCTAAAGAATATAAGACTACTTCTAGGGATGAACCAGTAAGGTAGATGGCATGTGGGCACAGTCCTTCCTTCATACTGGGATCCTTGTTCAGGATCATAAATTTTCAGTCCAGAGGAGTCCAAGAAAGGTCCACAGTAGCCTAGAAGGGTCCACAGGACCCTGGAAGGCAGTGTTTCCCAAACACCATTGACTTAGTACTGAACTTAAAGACTAAAAAAACAGTGTTCCAACAGTGAAGTGGAAGTCCGAGCCAGACAGGAAAGCGCAGCATGCAGCCAGGTGGGCCTATGCAAGGTCTCCTCAGGTTGCTAGTAGGATCAATAATATCTTCCCTCTCTTTCCGCATTCAGAAGCTAACATCAATCAAAATCCAGAATGACAAGATGCGTACTGGAAACCTTCCAGCCAACATGAAGAAAAACCGGGTTTTACAGATCATTCCATGTAAGAGCCCTCACCCCAAAGCATTATTGCCCTAACCCCCATTTCCCTCCACCCCTTCTGCTTCTCAGGTATTAGCTAATGGTTGGATTGGAGACAAGAATCACAGCTTTGCCTCATGTTGTTCCCAGTTCTTTAGTAGCTTCTGGAAATAAAACAGCATAAAAGCCAAAGGCAAGCAGAGTTAAAAATAAAAATATTTTAAAAAAAAAAGCCAAAGGTTTTCTGTCTCCTAGGCTAGGAACTGGCATTTCATTGCCCAAGGCCTGGGCAGGAACAGTGGAAAGAAAGAAGGGGTGGGGTATATGTTGGTAAGCTACAAACCACTGTCCTTCTTACAGATGAATTCAACAGAGTGATCATTCCAGTTAAGCGGGGCGAGGAAAACACAGACTATGTGAATGCATCCTTCATTGATGTAAGTGGTGGGTGTGTACTCCTGAGCTCCCAACACCCTATGGGGATTCCCTGTGGCTTGCAGTGCCTCCCTTGAATTGCGGCTTGGAAGGATCATCTTTGAGTCCATCAACATTTACTGAAACAATACTCATCTATCCACCCTGAGCACTGGATCTGTCAAGCCCCAAAGAGTAGAAAGTGGAAGAAACAGAGGGTGTATGCCAGTATGATTCCTAGAGAGAAAGCTCATAGCCAAGAAAATGAAAAAAATTGACCTATTCTTCCCCATTCCTGCTCTCCTCATCTTATCTCCAGCACCTGCTCCCCTTTCCCAGGGTTTGATCCTTAGCCAAAGGGGAACTCTGCCTGGGATGAATGTGCCTCCAGGTAGCCCTGTTCTCTTCGTAGGGGCCTGTCTCACTGCTGCCCAGGCAGACGCTCCTTTTCAACTCACTCTTCCCTCCTGATTAAAGCACCTTACTTTTGTGATTGACCTGATGTATATAGGGCTACCGGCAGAAGGACTCCTACATTGCCAGCCAGGGCCCTCTTCTCCACACAATTGAGGACTTCTGGCGAATGATTTGGGAGTGGAAGTCTTGTTCCATCGTGATGCTAACAGAATTAGAGGAGAGAGGCCAGGTGAGCTCCAAAAGGTTCTGGGCTGTAAGTGACAGAAATAGAATGAAAAGGTTGGGGAGGGAGGGGATGGGCTAAAAGGTATGCTTGGATTGTTTCTTTGATTTATACTGTCCAGGTATATCACCTAGCCAGTTGGGATCTGAGCAGTGATCAACTTCTCCCAGGACTAAAAAAGCAGAATGAGCTGAGTCCCTATTCAATTCCAGACAGATCCTACCCTTTAGGTACAGGGGGCTCCTGCATCTAGCCCTCCAACCTAGCCTTTTGTACACACTCTCTCCAAACCACCAAGGTCAGCAATGTGAGGAGCGGTATGCACAGCCAGGCTCTGAAGTAGAACTCTCTGAGTATCTCTAAAATCAGGTTGCCTCTTTGCTGACTATATAGAAGAAAACAAAAGAACTTGAAAAATGACAAAAGCAAGAATTTTACAACTTAATATTCTCTAACAAGAGGTTTTTTTACCCTTTCTGGGCTAGAAATATGGTATGCCTTTATTGGCTGAGCAGGTTATTTGAGGAAAGATGAAGCAAGAGAAGGGTGTCCCTAGTGCCAGTTCAGCCATGCTTCATGGACTTAACAAGGAAATCTTTGAAAGAAAAAAAGTCATACATACAAAAAAAAGAAAAAAAGCCCTCGAGTTCATTAAAAACTAGTGTTGTCTAGGAGATCAGACTAAAGAGACCCCCAGATTCATTCCACTCGGTATAGGAAATCTCTCTATTCCTGCTCCAGGCCTCTATGGAGTATCTGAGGGCAACCTAGTCTGTATTCCCACCGTATTTGTTCTTTCAAAGCCTCTTTCTGTCAAAGTTGTACACTACGGTAAGTGGTTGGTTCATTATTCCTGGAGCATCTCTGAACAGGGTTCACAGTCAATAGAATGAGCCTGGGTAAGCTAGCAAGTCCTGGTGAGAAAGTTCCTTCTAAGCTACTGAGAAGAGTTGGGACTTTATAAAGTAGTTAAAGAGCCTTTAAAAAATCCAGTTTGTGGTTTTGTTTTTTTTTTTTTTTTTAATCTCTCTGGTGAAATGAGGAGGACAAATAAGAAATGAGCAAGCCAGAAGCTGAGTGAAACTATGGCAGGGCTGGTACAAGGTCTACTCCAAGAGAGGATGAAAGAGTTGAGGGGACCCCGACAAGAGAGTTAAGGATGAGACCTTCTTGTGACTCACTGGATTGTAATCAGTTAGAAATTAAGCACACTAAATTAGTTGTTCCAACTATTAGTTGCTACTCATTCTGTGCTTGTTCAGTTTCTTTAACTTTGATACAAGGTTTTAGATATATTTGCTCACCCTGATGTTTCATTTTGTCAAGATTTTTTTCAATTCTAATCAGTCATGTAACTCATTCTTCTCAAGCTTGTATTATGTACCTAATCAGCTGACGTCCTACATAGGTCTTCATCAGTCATCAGTAACAACACTGATAAAGTGGGAGGCTTGGATTAAGATCCTTGGCTTTGCACCCCAGGAAACACACCTGAGAAACAAAGGCCAGCTGGGACTGAGTTGCTGTGTTATGACCTATGTGCATGTCTGCTAGCCCTCTCTGATAAGCTATGAGAGAATGTGCAGATTACACCAGGGCCCCACATCCTCTCCCCAACTGAATGATGGGCAGGCCCAGAGAACACATGGAAGAGCTAGAACAGCAAGCTCAGATATCCTCTGTTGGTCCACCACCTTGAAATAAAATGTGGCCCAGTGAATACCTCTGCCTCCGTATAATCAGATTATTAGACTGTCATCTTTGAAGAGAACTTAGTGTGACCAGAGGTCAGAGGGAAAGGAAGCATTTCTCAAGGGCAACATTGAGGGCTGGGGATGTGACTCAAGTTGTAGAGCACTTACCTAGCAAGCACAGGCCCAAAGTTCAAACATCAGTACTGACAAAAAAGAAAAAGAAAAAAGAAAGGGTAGCCTGCCATCAATTGGCTGGGGGCCCATTTCCTTCTGCAATTGTGTTTTTATGTCTCTCTAGTATTTCTTGCTCCTGGAAGCTTCTGAATGGATCAGAATAGGACATTAATCACATTCTTCACAAAGCCTCACTGGTCCCAAAGGCAACATTTCATTTCTTGTTCCATCTTCCATTCATGTTGTCAGGTATAGCTTCTAGAAATATTAACAAAGTAAGCCTAAATATTACAATGAAGGGTTTATTCAAAGTGATACCATCACTCTACACCCCTAGTATTAAATTTCTAGAGAAAAAGTCTAATCCCCACATATAAAGTTTCTACCTATATAAATTAAAATCTCAAAAGAATTAAAGCTTAATTCTCTTCTAAACCAGCAGTAGTGCACATAATGCCAGCACTTGGGAGGTGGAGACAGGAGACTACATAGCAAGATCCTGTTTCAAAAAACCATAAACAAAAAAGTTCTCTTCTGAATTTTTCCCTTCTGTTCCACCTTAACCAGAAGGGTTCGTCAAGATGCTTGGTAATAATGCCGGGTTCCCTCAGCAGCCACAGCTTAGACTAGGCATTAGTGTGGGCAAGACAGCATCAACAGCTCCTGCACTGTGTCAGTCCAACCCAACTCTTGTTGCACTTCTCTAAAGTGTTAGAACATGATGCCAACAAATCTGTGCCCCCACCATTGTTGTCAGCCTTAGACCATACAAGAAACTTAGTGCTATCTATGGGAAGGAGGGTGAAATAGACAGCACAAGAGACAGGAAAACTTGGTTTCAGCCTCTTACAGTATCCCATGTATAGTCCATAGCCTGAAGATGTTAAGGCTGAGATTAAACCTGAACTCCTAAACTCTCTTCTGCTGCACTAAACTCCTATTCCTTATTTCCCATTCCTCACCCACTGGCTTTATGCTCCTTTTTGAACCCCAATTTCTATTTCTGTTTTATTGTTGGGTTTTTTTTTTCTCTTTTTCTGTTTTATTGTTTTGAGGGTTGTTTTTGGTTTTGTTTTGAGGCACAGTTTCAACATGTAGTCCAGGCTGGCTTCGAATCCATGACCCTCCTGCCTCAGCCTCCCAAATGCTGGGATTACGGGCCTGCACCACCATGACTAGCTTTTGCTTTTGTTTTTGATCCACTTAGTTTATTTTTGTCAGTACTGGAGTTTGAGCTCTGGGCCTTACACTTGCTAGGCAGGTGCTCTGCCACTTGAGCCACACCCTCAGCCCTTGTTTTTGTTTTTGAGACAGCCTTGCTATATTGTACAGGCTGGTCTTAAACTCATGGGCACAAGTGGTTCTCCTACTTGAGTAGCTGGGACTTAGGCATGTGCCACCATTCCCAGTTCATGCACTTGCTTGCTCGCTTGGTCTGTCTGTCTCCCTCTTTTTCTCTCTCTTCTTCTCTCTCTTTCTTTCTCTCTCAGCATCAGTATCCATAGGGATTATCCATCTGTCCTTAATCCTTTTGATTCCTGTGGTCAAACCATGATCTTGTCATCCCATGTATCAGGACTGCCTTTGGAAGCTCAACAAGGCATCCCACCTTTTTAACTACCTCTGGTCTTTCACCACGATATTTCTCTCCTCTTACTCAGTAATTCTTTGTCTGCATCAAGTCTTAGAGCCATTGTCTACTCCACTATCTTTCATGGCCTCTACCCTATTAAACTCAGTTACATGACTCCATGTGATAGCAAAAATCACTGAGAATAAACACAAAACTGCTAACTGCTCTCATGTTGAATTCATGAACAACTCTAATTGGGTAATTAGCACCATCTGGCAATCCTGCTGCTCTTCCCTCTGCTCTTACTCAAACCTATAGCATCACACACACCTTTGCTTGTGACCCCCTCATTCTTCAAGCAGTCAGGCAGGAATACACTCCTCTTCTCATCCCCAAGTAACAAACCTATTCAAATATGTACCAGTTCTCTCCCTGCACTCCTGTTACAGTGGGAATGGGTTCCTACATCCCAGTCCCACTGCCCACTGTGTTTCTGGTCCCATCCCTTCTTGCTTCCTCAGTGATGTTGCTGCTGGAATTATCTTTTCTCTTGCCTCCACATCATCCTACATACGTCTTTAAAAAACAAAAATCTCAACCAGGTGTGATGTCACACACAACTGTAATCCCAGCACTCAGAAGACAGAAACAAGAAGAAAACCCATCACATAAAAAGACTGGTAGAATGGCTCAAGGTGTAGGCCCTGAATTCAAGCCCCAGTACACCACCCCCGCAAAAAAAGAAGATTGCACGTTCCTGGCCAGTCTGGGCTATATAGTGAGATCTTGCTCAAAAAATAAAGTTAAATAAAAATATGTTTATTAAATTTCTCCCCTAATCCCACATTCCTTTCCATCTAGATACTGTTTCTCTGCACTTCTTTCCAGTAAAACTCCTTTAAAGAGTTGCCTTTTTCTCCTTGAGTTCTGTCCTCACTCCAGTCCTTCCATTCTTATAGCAGCATTTGAAATAATCGGTGTCTCCCTTTCAGAACACTCTTTAGCTTCCAGTGTCACTGCCACTAGCCCTGCTAGCTCTTTTGTCATTTCCTTTGTGACCTCTCCATGAGCTTTCAACATCAGAGCATCCTAAACTCAGGCCTTAGTTCACTCTGTTCTCTTGGACACATCATCCCTTGAGGGTCACAGCCAAACCTGTGCTTTAAATGCAGTCCATAAATCTATGTTTCTAAACCAGTTACCCACTCTCCTTCACAATTATAGAACACTGTGTCCAAGTACCTACTTGTTACCTTCACATGAATGTCTTTTAAGGACCTCAGACTTCATATGGCCCAATTAAAACTTGATTTCCTCCTCCTCCACCCCCATACCAGTCCACCCATATTAGTCTGAACCCATCTCAATAAATAAGACCACTTTCCACTTGTTCACTCATGCCTCAAGTCTGGGAGTTACCCTCCTTACTCCCCTTTCCTCACCCCCACATGCAGTCTGTCAGTCCTCTTACCTGATCAGTATGTCCACTTCTCTCCAGCTGAAACAATCCCTCTCTGGTACAATCACTGTCATCTCACCTGCTGAGGAACGCGCCCATGCCCATGGGGCAACGGTGATGCCTATCACACACCCCAGCCCTGAACCTCACCTAAAGTAGCCTGGCAATTGCTCTTCCTGCATCTGGTCTTGCATACAAAATTTAGAAATGTTTAGTGGTAATATGTAGCCCCACACTTGAGTTGAGCCTTTCTTCCTTGTAGTTTCACTTGTTTATTTTGTTTGTCTACTTGCTTTCTGAGATAGAGCTTTACAGTTTTGCCCAGGCTGACCTTAAACTCAAAATCTTCCTGCCTCAGCCTCCCAAATGTTACCACTTTCTTTTCTTTTTTTTCTTTTTTTTTTTTTTTAACTTTAGTTATTTTTGCCTGAGCCACCCTTGGGCAGCAGTCCTCCTAGTTATGCCTCTCACATACTTGAGATTATAGGAGTGTTTGTTGAAATGGGGTCTCTCCAACTTTTTTTGCCCAGGCTGTATTCTGATCTCCTGATCTCTACTTCTGCTTGTATTCTCCAGATCTCTACTTCCTGAGCAGCTGGGATTTCGGGCATGTACCACCTCACCCATTCCATTTGCTTATTTTAAATCCCCTAATTTCCATTTCCTTTTATCCCCTCTACCCTTCATATGGGTCATGGCCTCTGACCTTAAGAAGGAAGCCCCTGATTCCTCCTGGACTTGCTCTCCAGCTCTGCCCTTATATCTCCATCCACAGTAGGGTTCCCTGACATCTTTAGCCTTGTCTAACGTGAGCACAGCCACTGCCTCCTCTGCTGTGGATTCCTTAGACCCACATTCTACTTCCTGAGTAAGGGTCCCCTGTCCCTTGGCCCAGAGCAGAGTCACCCCATAGATCCCTGAACTGAAGCTCCTCTGCCTCCTCCCAAGCCCTTGCCTTCCATCAGCTCACTGCAGCCTCTGTGAATGAATGCTGATGCAGTAACAGCTATCACCACTGCTCTCCCACAGCTAAGAAACACCTCTGCAGCGTTTCTCTCCATTCTTCCCCTTTTTCTCTCAGATAACATGGCTTTGTTTGTGAGTGAAACCTGCTTCAGTTTTTGTTGTTGAGCCCATATGGAGAGCTGACCACCTGGGTGAGTAGGATAATTCCTGCCTCAGTCCCATAGCTACCATAGTTTGTATGGTTTCTCTTTGCTTCATGTCATCCTGTAAATCCTAGCCCCATAAAATTTGCCACATTTGTTTTTTCTCAGAACACCTTACCTGCTTCCCCAGTAACTGTGTCACCTTGAAATTCACTCTACACAGCACTGGTCTATCAGTCCTATGGTCAGTCATGACTTTATGGAACCATCTTGTCATTGTCCCATTAGCATTAGCCATATAAGTACAGTTTGCTTTCCTGTTCCCAGCTTTAGGAGGGGCCTCTCTCCTGTGGTTCCCCAGCTCTGCCTGCCTGGGGCCTCCTTGCTTTCTGCCCCTTTTCTTCTCACTGAGCATAACTAGGATCAGAAGACCTAAAAGTTGTTAGGTGCAGGGACATACTTTTGTTTTTTCATTGTTTGGTTTGGTTTACAATACTGGGGATTGAACCCAGAGTCTTGCATTTGGTAGGCAAAGACTCTACCGTTTAAACTGTGCCCTAGCCATTTTTTGTTTTGTTTTGTTTCGTTTTGTTAAGATAGGGTCTCCCTACTTTTGCTCAGACTGGCCTTGAACTAACAGTCCCTCCTGCCTCTACTACCCAAGTAGCTATTTCTCTTGTAAAGTGTGATGATACTGTCTTTCTGCCCTAGTCTGATGGCTTTTAAGCCCATTGTCAGGCCTGGCTGAGAAACTAAAGACAGTGTTGGGAGGGGAATGTGGTAGAAAAATCATTTCACTCACCAATGTCCTAAAAATTGATGTAATACCTGGCTGAAGTGAGGCTTCATTAGAATTTTTTTTAACTATTGCAGTTGAAAAGAGCACTGGGGCTCCTAATGGACATGGGTAGAAAAACACAGGTCTGTGGCATTTTCTTGACCCACCACTTTAATAACAATTCTGTTTGAAACTGTGAGGCTATCAGTGATCTCTTTTTCTACTTTTCTAAATTTTTCCAAATCTTTTCTTTCATTCTTTTTTTTTTTTTTTTTTTTTTTTTTTTGTGGTACCAGAACTTGAGCTCTGGGCCTACACCTTGAGTCACTCCACCAGTCGTTTTTTTGTGATGGGTTTTTTTCAAGATAGGGTCTCACAAACTATTTGCCCGGGCTAGCTTCGAACCACAATCCTCCTGACCTCTTCCTTCTGAGTAGCTAGGATTACAGGTGTGAGTCACCAATATCTGGCTTTTCCAGATCTTTTCTAATGAATTTATATATATATATGTACTTGAAAATACGGTTTTTTTAACTTGAAAAATATTTACCAATAGTGAAGAATCATAGCTACTACCCCAAAATGCTCTAAAGAAATAGGCCACATAGCTTTTTCTTATTTTATTTTATTTTTTGGTGGTACTGGGGTTTGTCTCATGCTTGCTAGGCAGGTGCTCTACCACTTGAGCCACTCCACCAGCCCTATATAACTATTTTGTTTTATTTACATATTTATACCTTGACTTGTTCTGCAGACATTGAACATATTCATTTACCAGATACTTAATGAGACCCTACCATATTCCAGGCATTGAGCAAGGTGCTGAGGATACAAAGATGAAAAGAGACAGCACCGAAAGGAACTATGGAGGGAATTAATCCAGGTGTAGACAAAGATAGACATTAAGCCTCTTGCTCACTAGCAAGGACAGAAATGCAAGTGCTCTCAATGTTCAGGTACCATTGCAGATTAAAGAGATAAAAGGACACTGTGGACTTGAATAGTGGTGGAGAACTTTGGCTTGGAGGGAGGGTTAATGTCTTATGGTTTCTGAATTAGTAGTCTGACATGTAAGTAGCTCTAAGGCATGGAAATACCCCAAGGGAAGGGAAGAAGAAAGTTGAAAAGACATTCAGTCATTTGAGTATGGTACAGTTCGAAGTGATTCTCAGAGTTCACAGATCCTGTCATGTTGCAATTTTAAACTGTAAATAAGTCACACCAAATGGTTAACTGATTATCTCTGACTAATTGGAGTTGGAAATTAATTAGGATAATGTGAAGTGATGTGTGATCCTCCAAGTTTTCAATACCTTGGAAATGAAGTGTGCCAGAGTAGGACGTAGCTATACTGACAAGGGTTAGGCTGCCTGTGGGCAGTAATTTTCTATTATTCATGGTATTCTAGCCCATGACCTCTCCCATTTGTCCCTCCAGGAGAAGTGTGCCCAGTACTGGCCATCTGATGGCCTGGTGTCCTATGGCGACATCACAGTGGAGCTGAAGAAGGAGGAAGAATGTGAGAGCTACACTGTCCGAGACCTCCTGGTCACCAACACCAGGGTAAGGTTGGTGGTGCGTGGGGCTTCTCCCACAGGGAAAGTGGGGCTGCCCCTGCCTCCCTGATCCCCCTTCTTCCAAAGGAGAACAAGAGTCGGCAGATCCGACAGTTCCACTTCCATGGCTGGCCTGAAGTGGGCATCCCCAGTGATGGAAAGGGCATGATCAGCATCATTGCAGCCGTGCAGAAGCAGCAGCAGCAGTCGGGGAACCACCCCATCACTGTACACTGCAGGTACTACTCACCAAAGCCCTCATAGGGAGCAGAAAGAAAAATCAAGAGAGGCAGATTGGGGAGAGTGAGTGATGAGGAGCTTGTGTCAGACCATGAGGAAACCTGCACAGAGCAGAATGTTGGTAAGCACACGGTTTGAAGATCAAAACAGGGCTGAGTAATCAGAGAAGATCTGGGAGTTTGAACTTGGCACATTAAGTCCTGGGGAATTAGTAACATTGAGATAATGGGCAGAGCTGGGTACTGGTGGCTCACATCTGTAATCCTAGCTACTCAGAACGCAGACATCAGGATGATCACAGTTTGAAGCCAGACCCAGGCAAATAGTTTGCCAGACTCTATCTCAAAAAAACCCATCACAAGAAAAAAGGGCTGGTGGAGTGGCTCAAGCAGTAAGAGCACCTGCCCTAACAAGCATGAGGCCCTGAGTTCAAACCCCAGTGCCACCAAAAAAAAAAACACTCGCAGGAGGTTGGGCATTATAGTACACAGCTGTAATCTCAGCCTCTCATGAGGTATAAGTAGGAGGCTGGTAAATTAGAGGCCAGCCTGAGTAAAGTTAGTGAGACCCTATCTTAAAAAACAAAAGGCTGGGGTAAAGTTCAAGTATTAGAGCATTTGCTAGGAGTCCCTGAGTTCAATCCCTAGAACTACAAAAAAATAAATAAAATAGAAATAAGACTGAAGGCTCCTAACAAGCATGAAGCCCTGAGTTCAAACCCATACTCACACACACATACATACATGTTGGGCAGGGAGGCTTGAGGAACCATGATGGAGTACAGGAAAAGCAGCAAGGGAGACCAACATTGGAGAGACCAGATGGGCAATGCAGGAGTGATGGCCTGGTCTCCTTAAACATGGGAAGAACAAAAGCAATTATTTGGATCTAGTGGCTCAAGTTGTAGAGTGCCTGTCTAGCAAGTACAAGGCCCTAAGTGCAAACCCCAGTACTGCAAAAAAAAAAAAAGAGCAATTATTTTGAAAATGGTTTGAGAAAAAATGAACAAGACTAAGAACATAGAGTTAAAGAGAAAACAGGTTTGAGCTGGGCTTACTGATAACTGTCGATGTGACTAACAAGACAGGACTCTTGTTTAGGGAGAGAAGGTGAATTTTATTTGAGATTCTGTTTTAGAAAAAAAAAATGTTGACCTGGAAAATGTTAACTCAGTAGCAGAGCACTTGTCTAGCATACACTAGGGCCTATATTCAGTGCACCATACCATCCAAAAAGAAAAAACCTTTACCCTGAGTTTGTCTTAATAGTAGAGATTCTTTTTTTTCTTTTTGTTGGTGGCACTGGGGTTTGAACTCAGGGCCTTATGCTTGCTAGGCAGGTGTTCTTACTGCTCAAGCCACTCCGCCAGCCCAATAGTAGAGGTTCTTAAAAGGTTTGTGCATACTAACTTTCTAGTTCCTTTTCTGTTATCTTCTGTCCAGCACATTCCAGTTAAAACACACATTCATAGACACACATACATACATACATACATACATACATACATACATACACACACACATATATACCCTTTCAGGACTACCTGTGACCTCCAGATTGCCAGTGATCACTCCAGCCTCATTATACTTAACCTGTTATCAGCACTGGACAAAGTCTATCACTTGTCTCTCTGAAATGCCCTAGCATGGCTTCTCTCCTAGTTTTTTCCTGGTAGGCTTACCCTTCTCTATGTCCTGTGCTGATTCTACCGCATCTGTGGCCCAAGGCTCAGACAGTGAGTGCCCCTAGGTAGCTCACCAAGTCTGTTAGCTTTAATACATACTCCCAAGTCTTTATCACCAGTTTAGTCTCTCTTCCTTAAATCCACATTTATATACCTAGCATTATATATCCAGTACTCAGCATCTCCATGTATATTTGATACTTAGGTTTCTAATCAGAATTCCTGATCTTTCTCCCAAAGCTTTCCCCAAATCAGTAAGTGGCATTTCCATCACCTTAACTCCTATGAGAAGCCTTGGAACTGTCCTGTTCTCCCTTTCTCACATGTCACATCTGACCCATCAGCAAATCATACTCTACTTGCATATCATCTCAGAAACCAAGTATCACTCACTGCCTCCCCTGTAGCCTTTCATCCAGACCATCTCCCCTTCCCTAACTAGTCTCCTGCTCCCACCCTCCCCTGCATTCTGTCCTCCTGTACACAGCAGCCAAAAGTAAGTCAGACTGCACTTATTCCTTTACTTAGAATCCCAACAACAAGGGCCCAGTGTGATCTGAGAGCTTCCTGCCATGCCAGGCAGTGGGGTGCACCTGAGGGCTGGTGTTCTTACAGGATTCTGACCCTACCCCACCACTCTCCTTTGCTCTTACATCAGATACAGCTACACAGCTTCAGCACCCTTGGGCCTGAGAGTCTTTTTCCCAGAGAGCCTTCCCCAAGGACCCTGCCTGAAACTCTTCTCGTCTTTCTCTTTCCCTTACTGTCTGGGAACAGTCTCCCTTTATTGTCTGGGGGGACTGCTAAGCCCCAGAATCTCTGCCACAGAGCAGGGTTTCAAGTGTCTGGTGAGGAAATCAATTGATGACATCGGATGGATTGGATAGTGTCAAAGCTGAAGTCTGGTTTCCTTAAACTTAGAAAGAAGATGAAAGGCATGGAAAAGAATCAACAAACATAGCAGTACAGATTTGTCAGGGAAAGGAAAGAGAAGACTAGAACACTAACCTGAGCCAGCAGTGTGTCAGGGCAACCCAGAAATTGTAGATGAATAGCAAGGGCTAGTACTAGTGGTGTGTGAGTCACCACAGTCCCACAGGTAAGCCTCTCAGCAGGAACAGGAAGAGCAGCAGGTGTGCACACCTCCCCAGAGATGTGCTGTCACAGAGCCCCTTCCAGGCTGGAAGAGCAGAGGTAATTGTGGACCTCCTGCCCCACCCACACCCTCCTCCACGGATCACTTACCTTCCCAGCACCAGTCTCAGCCTGTGTCTGCTTCTTGGGTGGCAAGAGGTCCAAAGGAAGCATGGTAAGTGTGTTTGCTCTGTTTCAGTGCTGGAGCAGGACGGACGGGGACCTTCTGTGCCCTGAGTACAGTCCTGGAGCGTGTGAAAGCTGAGGGGATTTTGGATGTCTTCCAGACTGTCAAGAGCCTGAGGCTGCAGCGGCCACACATGGTCCAGACACTGGTATGCCGCCCATGTCTTTGTGCCACCACACCATCTGCAGCCCTTCCCTCTCAGGAAGGATGCTTTCAGAGGACCCACCCAATATTCAAAAGACTGACCAGAGGCCTACTCTTTCTGGAGGTGCCCCAAAGAGACAGGAAGTGCCTTGGGAGGCAGGATCACAGTAGGATTATATCCTGTACACCCAGAGGGAATGTGGCAGGTTACAAGAGGGTGCCTGAAAGACCCATAGACTTCTCTGTGCTTCACCTTATGGTGGTGGGAGGGTAGAGGGGTTGTGTGGAGGAGACAGGAACACCTGCCTTTATTCAACTTCAGCTCCCTGCTGAGCAATCTGACTCTTTATAGTCTGGATCCACAGAGGTTTTCCTAAATCCTCTGAAGCTAGAAATGTTTGAGGGGATAAAGAAAAGTTGGGGTGGAGATGTAGTTCAAATGATAGAGCACCTGCCTCGCAAGCGAGAAGCCCTGAGTTCAAACCCCAGTACCACCAAAAATAAAAGAGGAAAGAAAGTGAATTTGAGGAGGTTTAAGAAGAGATGAAGCTTTGAAAGCCAGGGCACATCGCAACCTGCCACATTCACGTCTGACCTCACAGGGCCAAGGACTGTCTTTATCAGTCTGGTCAGCTCTGTTTGTAGTCTGTTTGCTGCAATCAGCCCAGAGTACAGAGCTGCCGGAACTCTGGTAGACAGGTCAGGGCACACGTGAAAGTCCACAAACATACATTTCCTCTCATTTTTCGATTTTTAAAGACAGAGCTGTTAGCAATTGCAATTCACTGTTCTCATTGGTAACCCTGGTTCTCTTCCCCTCCTCCACCCTACAGGAACAGTATGAGTTCTGCTACAAGGTGGTGCAGGAATACATTGATGCATTCTCAGACTACGCCAACTTCAAGTAACAGGAGACTTGCCTTTAATATTTTGTAATATTCTGTTTTGTTAATATACCCAAAATTGTGTATATATCTTATAACTGTTTTAGAAATTGGTACATAGGCTTCTATTACCTATTAGGTGGAGATTTTATATGTAAATGTGTTAGTACTGATAGTCCTTTTTCCAATGTTTTATTGGGGAATTAAATAGTGTGATGTTTGGATTGATATCGTGAAATCCTCAGCCTGGAAATTGGGCTGAATTATTCTTTACTTTAAACATCTTTTCCTAAAGAAGATAAACACAAAACCCATTCCAGGTAGTTTGGCACCAACTAAGAAAAAAAGCACAAAGTTCTCAGAGCTCTTGAGGAAGTGGTTGTCCCGGTGCCCCCATGCAGACCTCTATCCCCTCCCTCCCTGCACTGTAAATATCCCTCCCCTCTCCAGCCCACTCCCTTCTCCCACAGCCTACATCCCAGCAGCCCCCCATGGGGAGTAATGGGACCCGAGCGGTATCTGTCTCCACACTAGGGATTATCAGGTAATAAAAGCTTTGACTCCCTGAGGAAATGTTTCTCCCTTTGTCTGGGGTGGGGGAGCCATACAGAGCTGGGACTCTGTAGGCCACTCCTGGCCCCGCTGTTGCTGCTGTCTCTCAACTGTCTGCTCCTCCTTTCTGTCATGTACTGCCCTTCCTGCTCTGAGGTTCTTTTCAGGACTCTCCTTTCTTTCCCACCCCATCCAGTGGTAGCAGTGAGCCTCACTCCCTGGGACAGATGACCAGGGTCTCACCTTCCCTAAGGGCAGGAGCCTAGGGAAGAGATGAACAGGCTCACGTTTGGGGTTGAGGCCAGCCTGATCTTTCCAAGTCCCTGGTACTTTCCTCCAAAGCCACCTAGATTGTCCAGAAAAGGTCTTTATGTCCACACTGATTGTGTTAAATAGCTCCCACTTCCCTTCATATGTATCCTCATTTCCAGTACTCTTATGCATAAGTCTTGCATATCTCAAAGCTGGGATGCTAGAAGTCTTAGATTCCAACTTGGTCCCAAGCCTGACTTGTTTGACCAAAGTGTCAAACTTTTGTGTCTTAAAGAAGGTGGATGTTCATTTATTTCTCATATAAATGTCCAGAGACCCAGTATCTTTCCACTTTCTGGTCCCAGTGTCCTCAGGATATAATTCTCATTGTCATGGTAAGAGTTGGGTCAATATGATGTCCATATTCCAACCTAAAATGGGGAAAGAGCATGAAAAGCAAGCAACTTTATTTTTAGGGACATGAAGCAAAAGTTGCACTTCTCATTTCTACTCATGTCCCATTGGCTAAATCTAGTCCTATAGCTACAGGGGGTGCTGGGAAGTATGGCTTCACTTGGAATGGCTAGGAAGGTGTTTCTGCTCACTGCGTCCTAGCATTACAAGCAGCTCATTGCACATTGGTTGCTATGGCTGGCAGGGTAGGGCTGAGGGAAGTGGTAGCCTCAGGCCTTCCTTGAAGAGCTGGGGCAGGCCCTGGGCTCCTCAGAGGCTTCAGGAGTGAGATGGCACCTCAGCATGATCAACAGGGACATACTCAGAAGTCAGTGCTGCTGGGCTCCTTGGAGGAGGAGGGAACTTGAACTGGACCTGAGGGATGCTGAAAATTTAGACAAGTTGAAAGAAAGGTCAAGTGGAGCCATATCACAAAGGACCTTGGAGTCCAGACAAAGTGGCTCCAGGAGGGAAGCCCAGCTGTGCACCACATTCAGGATGTTTGTGTGGAGGAAGGGGTGTGCGGTAGGAAGTCCAGCGGATGGAAGCTTCAAGAGGTGAGTGTATGGACTGGTGGCGTGGCTCAAGCAGTAGAGTGCCTGCCTCACAAGTGTGAAGCCCTGAGTTCAAGCCCAGTATCACTATTTCTTTGAGGAGAGGAGTGATATTAGAGGAGTGATAGCCAGTGTCCAGTGCACCCCAAGGGCTCATAGACCTGCTCCTCAGAGACCTCAACTTCATCAAGTTGGCTTCCTTCTTGGGTTTCCATTTCCTTCTCGACTGCTGTTCCCCAAATACTCAAAGCTGTCCTTGAAAAGGCACAGGTATTGATGAAGTGGCTCATAGTGCCTGCTTAGTAAGCATGAGGCCCTGAGTTCAAACCCCAGAACCACCAAAAAAAAAAAAAAGGCATAGGGAAGGTAGGGTCTAACATGCATTTCCCCCAGGCCTAATTTCTCCCTTTATGACAGACTTTAAAAAGGTCTGTAGTCCCTCTTCCTCACTTTATTCCCACACATGCCTTTTTCACCCATGCCTGCCAGGGAAGCCTGGGTACTAAACCCCAGGGATCTGTTGCTTCTTGACCCCAACCTCCCCTCCCCCATCCCATCCCCACTAGTGATTCTCCTCAGACCTTTATCTCACTCGCTTCACTTCCCCAATCTCCCTCAGAGCAGGATGAGGAGAGGGAGCAGTCTACGTGGACCTTCAGCTCTTCTCTAACCCCAGCATTTCCTGCTGAATTACTAACCAGAACTGTCTAGGGGCACCTATGGGCTCCCTACACTCCAGTCTTCCCCTGTCCTTCCAGTTCCACCTCAGTCTCCACAGCCCTCCAGGAGGCTCCACCCGGCCCACCATTTTGCAGCCCACAGGTTACCTGCAGCTCTTCTGGTGGCCCTTCTTTGTCCCTTCACTAGAGCATCCCACTGTGCCTTTCTACTTCCAAGCTAGCTAATTCATCTTCATCCTTACCCTGAGCCACTGCTCAGGGTTTGTGCCCATCTGCTTTACCCTCTACTTTCCTACTGGCTATGAGCAACTCCTAGCTTCAGGGATTTTGTATTCTCAGGACCTGACTTTAGTTGGCACTCCATGGTCAATAAATAACTTTCCTGTTCTGCCGAGTGAGGCATGAGGGTGAATTCCAGAATTAGTAGTCTGGAATGGAACATCAGCTATCCCAGAAAAACTAAATATGTTGCCAGGAAGAAAGAGATTTTCCTGAGCAGCTTAGTTCTGGTTTGTATTTTTCAGGAAAAACCATAATCGAAAAAACTAAAGGCACGCCATTCCTTTTTAAATAAACACCAGAGACATGAAAACATTCTGTAACCTAAACCAGCTAGTCAGTTCAACTCAAGAGTTGTTTTCACTAAACCACAAATCAAATGTTTTCCTAAAAATCACCCAGTCAACAAAGTCTCTATATTTCCCAAAACAACTTAATTGAGCATACTTTCCCCATGTTCATGTCAGTTTGAAAAGTCACAGCTGTGCCCATCCTGAAGCCCAGGTGCCCAGGATTGACAGTGGTGTCTGTTACGCTCTACTTCCCACCCCACCCCCCACCATCATTCTCCAGATTTGACACGCCCAGTGGTATAGTCAACACAATGCTGAACCTGACCCTGCCCTCACCTTTGCTGTTCAGCACAAATGCAGAGATTGGCTATTAACTTTGTAAACAGGTTTCCGACCCTCTAGAGACCAATGGCTGACAGTGGAAAACTGAGCTGCTGGCACAGACTGGGAGGTGAGGATCTGTTTCCAGCAACCCAGACTGGCTGTGTCCAGATACACAAATGGGCCTGGGTTGAGCATAGGATGAGCAAGGTTAGAACGTTGAGGGGCACAATTACCCTCTGCTGACAGCCCTATGGAGACTGCAGGGTTCCCTCGGCTGGTCCCCCATCGTAGGCCTGCTTAGAAGGAAGAGAGTCTGCCCCTAGGTAGGGACTAATCCTACCTCCATATGGGTGCAAACCCACCTAGTCCATTTTATAGTGGGTGGGAGCCCTTGGAGAGAATGATCCCCAGACCTCTGTACAGGCTGCTGGGCTCCCCATTCTTAGGCTGCCACGGGCCTCAAGGGCAGGAGCTTGAGGATGTAGCCAACGAAGTGTGAAGATGAGACCAGGACATGGACCAGCCTGGAGCAGGAATAATCGTGTGACTTCTGTAAACCAATTGATCATAAATGGGGTTAAAAGCAAAAGTTTTATTCAGGTTCAGAATAGTTTTGCAAATCGGAAAACACAGGTTCAGTTAGACTGAACCAGTATTCCACCAAGGGAAGGCAGGCTAGGCTGTTAAGAACAAGGAGAGGGACCACATGCAGCTTAGCATGAGGGTGGTGGACAGGATTGAGGCAAGTTCAGCACAAATCAGTATGGTCCTAAATTTTGTAAATCTATTGTTTAGGTCAGGTCAGGCAAAACTTGTCACTTAGGTATTTCTCAAATCTTGCAAGGTATTGTTAGATCCCTCATGGATTCAGTTCCCAATATATTGTTTGTGTGGCAGCTTACTACTGTCAGTAAAGGCTCTAAGGCTCAGAAAAGGATCTTTACTATTTTGTATTGTTTTGAGTACTGGGGTGCTCTACCACTTGAGCCACACCCCCAGACCTTTTTCACTTTAGTTATTTTTTAAATAGGGTTTTGCATGTCAGGGCCAGCCTCAGATAGTGATCCTCCTATCTATGCCTTCCTTTTGACCACTCTGCAGCCATTTTGATGTTTTGTTTGTTTCAACTTGAGGTCACTTGGAAGATGGGGAATGTGGGGGTCAAGAATCTGTGCGGTTGCCTTTGAGCCAGCGGTGACCTGGTGTCTATTCGTGAGGTAGATACTATGGGAAGAGGGTTGGGTGGCAAGTTCCCCCACCCCCTTCAAGACATCACTGAAATCTGGATCAGAGCAAGGGGTGGAGCCTCCTCATCAATAAATGCTGAGCTGTCTAGTTAGGGTCCTGCAGTGCTGCCTGAAGGAGCCACTTCATCCACAGCTCTCTCTGGGTGAGTAAGGAGGCTGCCTTTCCTAAGACTGAGGTTCCTGGGTGGAGCTCCATCCTGGGGGCACTGTCCCTCTTCTCTCTCAAGCCTTTCCACCCTTGAACCATGCCCACAAAGGCCCCCCTTTCTCTTCCTCCCAACAACTCTACTAATGTATCCCTGTGCTTGCCACCCTCATATGGGAGAGGAGAGGGGCTGAAGCACTTTTCCCATCACAACCACACATTCATTACACATCCCCAACCATCACAGAAGAGAGAGAGAGCGAGCCACAGAGAAAAGGGGCAGAAAGCCTGCTGCTCTGGTTGCCTAGCACCAGGGGCCCAAATGTGCCCACACTACCACCCATCCCACAGAGAACTTCCCTAACCATTTATTGATGAGGAGGCTCCACCCCTTTCTCTGATCCAGATTTCAGTGATGTCTTGAAGGGGGTGGGGGAACTTGCCACCCAACCCTCTTCCCATAGTATCTATTCATCTTTCCATCCTTGGCCTGTAGTCTGTTCCCCTCTCCAATCTTCCACTTCTGGAACTCCCCTAAAGGCAGGAGGGATGGGCCTGGCCAGTTGGGAGGATCCTCAGAACTGTTGAGGTTGGGAAGCTTCTGTGCCCAGGGCTCTAGAAGATGGTTGTTCCCCTAGAGCATCCTCCCCTCGCCCAGGCCAGGATCCCTCAAGATCTAAATCCCTGTAGGCCTGGGATAAGGAGCAGAGGAAGGGAGGGAAAAGCATTGGTGACACCAAAGCTGCCCTGAGGTGCCAGTTGACCTGGGTGGCTCCTTGAGTGTTGTCTATTGTCCTTGAGAACAGCCCCGCCATGGCCAGCTCAAGGCTAAGCCTCCTGCTGCTGCTGCTAACCAACCCATCCTGAACCCTTGGGGGCTCAGCACTGGTCCTATGGCTGGTACCCTGCAGGAGAGCAAGCCTTCAGCTGGCCCCAGGACTCCCAGAGAATCCTCAGGCCCCCAGGTGGGTGATGGGTTTCCCCAGACTGGGAGGAAGGTGCCAGGCTAAGGCTCTCCCCCTATGCTGGGCAGAAGATGGGGTACAGGCTGCAGCCTCTGTTCCCTTCTGAGAAAAAGTCCTGGGCACTGCAACAGGCAGCCCAGCCCAGACTGCCCACAGCCTCCCGAGTGATGTTCTGGCTCCTTCCCAGGATATTGTGCCCTGGGAAGACAGGTCCATGGACCCGTGGTCCCTCCATAAGAAGCTGCTTCTGTTGCAGACACTACTGGTGAGTGGAGTAAGATGGCCCCCAGTATGCAAGACCAGCCTTTGGTCACTAGCCTCTCGGCCCCCAAGAGAAAGGCCATCCTGGCTGGGGAAGAAAGAGCCACCACTGGGATGCCCTCCTCCCCCAGCTGTTTCTCTATTCACTGGTGAAGTAGGGCATACTAAAAAGCTCCATAAATAAAAGAGTGGCAGCTGTGGGTCCCCCAGGTTTCTTGACAGTCAAGCCAATGTATCTCAGGGTGGCCAAGTCCCTATTCAGTGGGAAGAGGGTAGGGTACACCTCACACATAGGCAGCGAGGCTCCAGAGGACCAAATGGTCACTGACGTGCACTTGGAACTAGCGACTACAGAGTTCCCCACGACCATAGCAGAGGACAGGAGTGGGGAAATGGTTTATTACTAATTGGCAAATCGAACATATTTAAAGAGCATCAGCGGAGCGCTTATTAAAAGAGGAAGTGTAAATTCGTAGGAGGCAAAGCCCTGTCGCCTAATTTAAGTGGGTGTGAGCTCGAGATTATATGCCTCAGATTTAGGGTGGACAGACTGCCCAGAGAACTGGAGATCCCCACACTGGGTCCCAGGTCCCTCTGGGAGGGGGCAATCTGAGCGACGTGGAGGCAAGCCGATCCGCTAGGTGGGCATGGGCAGGGAGGAACCCCAGTAGGAACGTCCCATGGCATGACCGTCCCTCTCCCCTCCACAGAAGGCAGCCCGAGCTCCGCATCTCGCCGCCTTTCAATAAAAGTGTGATGTCGTCTCAAGTCCTCTCCTTCATCCCCTCCCTTTGCCATCCCCGCTAAGAGCGCTGCGAGGGAGCGGGAGGAACGTGGGCCGAGTCCCGCGGGCGGGAGGGACAACGTGGTGGAGCAAGGCCCTGCAAAGAAAACCTGACCCGAGTCCGGAACCCGGGGCTGACTGCAGTGGTCCTCAGGAAAGCCGCCGCGCGCGAGCTCCGCCCCTAAGAGGGAGGGGCGAGGGAGAGGTGGGCCTGAGGACTGCATGTCCCGTGGTGCTTCGCGCCCGCTTCCGGGCCGGTGGTGGCCGGCGGCGAGGGACCGTGGTTATGCTGCGCGCGTTGAGCGACCTGGGCTGGCGGCCCCTGTACAGGCCTCCCGCCCTGCTGCTGCTTCCCGCACGTGGCCGCAAGACCCGCCAAGACCCGCCTGCCAAGTCCAAGGTCGGACGCGTGAAGACGCCGCCCGCGGTGGACCCCGCGGAGTTCTTCGTACTGACGGAGCGCTACCGGGAGTACCGCCAGACGGTGCGTGCCCTCAGGTGTGTGTGGCGGAAGGGCAGGTGGCGGTGGGAGTCCTCAAGGGAGTATTGGGGCGATTGGGGAGGCCGGAGGGTGCCTACTTGAAGCGCATCCCCGCCCAGGGTGGAATTCGTGTCCGAGGTGCGGAAGAAGGTGCAGGAGGCCCTGACCGGCGTCGTGGCTGAGCGCAAGGCGCAGGAGGATGCCGCCGAGCACCGGAGGCTGATGGCCTGGAACCTGGCGGAGAACCGGCGGCTGCACGAACTGCGGTGCGTGGGGCGCGAGGCGGGACGGGGCCCCCTGGCCGACCTGAGAGAGGCGGGGTCCCCGCTGAGCCGCGGCTTCTTGTCCCTCGCAGGGTGGCAAGGCTGCGGCAGGAGGCGCTGGAACAGGAGCAGCGGCAGGCGGAGGAGCAGGCCCGCCGGGCGCTGGAAGAACAGGCCCGGGTGCAGCGCAAGCAGCAGGAAGTGTTGCAACTGCAGGTTGGTGGGCGGGCGGGGGGACGGGGTTCGCGGCGGTGGGGATTGTGGGCGTTTGGGGACTCGCGTCTGCAGGTGAGGATTTGAGATGAGATGAGAGAGAAAAAGGGAGGGAGGGGCGGGCTAAGTTGGGAGGGGCCACCAGCTTGTGCAGAGTTCCCAATGAGCTGGCATTTTCTCTCCCTATAGGAGGAGGCGAAAAACTTCATCACTAGGGAGAATCTGGATGCACGGATAGAAGAAGCATTGGACTCCCCAAAGAGCTACAACTGGGCCATCACCAGAGAGGGGCTGGTGGTTAGGCCACAGCACGGAGGCTCCTAGGAGCCTCATAAGGACAGTGTCTGCCCAGAGACCTTATGTGCATAGGGGAAGGAGGGCTGGGCTTGATCTGGAGTAAAGCAGTTAGTACCTTACTGTGGGAAAGGAGTGATAAGTGCAGAGGCCAATGCAGCCCTTACACTCTGGCTCCTATGCTTATCACTTGGTCAGAATCTCCCAGACACAGTGCCGTGTTCTGTCCCTATGTAGAACTTCAGGAGTGCACCAGACCCTAGAGTGGTTTCCATCTCTCAGAATGTCAGGCTGGGCCACATTCCCTTAGGTAGCCAGGCCATCTTCTGAGTATTATAAGCCAAATGTGATCTGTTGCCTCCTTTTGTAAATAAAGTTTTACTGAAACATAGACTTGCCCATTCATTGACTACATCTATACTGTTACAATGGCAGAGATGGGTAGTAACAACAGAGACTGAATGACTTGCAGAATCTAAAATAAAACATTTTTAAAGAGAAAAGTTTGCTGTCCTTAATTTGGGACTTTAGGATACTAGCTGGGAGCAGATATCACCTGGTAACTGTGCCACAAACTAACCATTGGCTAAGTACCTACTATTGCTTAATCCTGGGCTTTGCTAGCCAGCATCTGTTGTGTCTGAAATTCAGAAGGCAAAGGGGAGACCCTATTTCTCTTGGTAGCGCTCCATGTGGCTTCAGTGTACTACATCTGCCCTGGCATACCAAATTGTGCTTGGCAAGCACTTGGACATGCCCTGCATGGAACTGTAACGCCCTAGTATTCCATCTGCTGGCGTTGGTGTGCAGATCCACCTATAAACCAGGCTTCAACTGTTTAACTCTACCCAGAGCTTTCGATCATTCCATTGACCACTATAGGTCCCTTCAGGATTAACTCTAGCTTAGTCCCATCTGTCCTGTTTCTGATGGATCAGAGCACTGCTGGGTGCACAGGCAGACTGGCAACTTCCACCCCACCTGGCCACAACTGAATGGTATCCCACAATGCATGCCTAAATCCAGCAGAGCTCTGGACAGTTAACTGATGGGCATGTCCTTGCTCAGAAATACCAGAGAGCTCTTGCGATCATCCCCTTAAGTTCCAAATAGTTCAGTCTTCACCCCAGCCTTACAATGCTGCTTTTGACCTCCTATTTGGGAAGGTAAAAGAATTCCAAGCTTGAATCTTCCTGCCGGTATTGTCCTTATTTCAGTGGTCACCCGGCCTCATTTCCTGTGTCCTCATGGTGAACAATACATGCTCTGCAGGATTTTGAGACTCAGAGTTGCCAGAACTGTACTTGTTGCAGTGTGGACCACCTAGAGAATCCTCTGGTTCAAGGTTCCAGTTGTAGGTGATAGATTTGGAAGTGTCTCAGTAAATGTGTTTTGAGCTGAACATGCAAATGTGAGTGCTTTCACAAGATTTGAGGAGGCCCACCCTGCAAGATTAATCAGGGCCCAAGTACAATTTTTGTTTCACTTGGGGGAGGGGAGGAACTTTGCTATGTGGGTAGTTTTCCCCCAGAATTTCTCCAGTCACAGTCAAGCATAGATGCTTACCAAAACACTCAAGATTCTTGGCCCTTCCAATCCTCCAGGTGAAGCAGCCTGAGCTCAGTGAAATAGACTGCCATGAAGTCCTAGGATGGATGGGATGGTCAAGTTCTCCACAAACCTTTGGTCATCTCTTAGGCAGGACAGGGAAGTGCCATCCCGCTATCAGGTGAAGACAAACTGCTTGTAGTAGTTCAAGTGACTAAGAAAAGAGGAATGCACTTGCCAGATTAATAGGTGCTGGCTACCTTGTTAATCTGTTCTATCAAGGAGACCCCACTAGAGCCAATTAAGCCTACAGTCATTACTCATATATTTCCAGGCTAACCAATTTTTCTGCATGGAACACAGTCATAGCTGCCCAGTAGTGCTGTGCTGGCACCACTGCTGCTGTTGGGACTGCAGCCCCTGTGCAGGAACCCAAATACCCATGCCCCAGACACAGCAGAAGCGGAGTCACATTCCTCCAGCCTTAAAAACAAATCTTTTACATGGAAAGGCTGGTCAACAGGTACAATGTCACAGTTAGATGGGAGAAATAAATTCTGGTATTAGTGCACAGTGGAGTGACTATAGCTAACAACACACTGACTATTCCAAAGAGCTAGAAGAGAGAACTGGGGATGCTCTCATGAGGACATGATAAAAGTTTAAGGTGATGGATATATTAATTATCACATATACATTGTACCCCATAAATATGTACAATTTTCTTCAGTACTGGGAATTGAACCCAGGACCTTGTACTACCACTGGAGCTATATTCCTAGTCCTTTTGTTTTTATTTTGGTTTTGAGAGGGTCTCACTAACTGTGCCTGGGCTGGCCTTGAACTTTCAATACTACTGCCTCATCCTCCTGAGTAGGTAGGATTATAGGCATGTACCACCACATCTGATTTTTTTTTTTTTTTTTTGAGACTGGGTCTTGCTGTGTAGCCCAGGCTGGCCTTGAGTTTGAGATACTCTTGCCTTGGCCTTCTCAGCACTGGGATTGCAAGCAAGAACCACCACGCCCAGCAATATGCACTACTATGTGTCAATTTAAAAAAAAAAAATCTTTCAAGTGCCTCCTGGATTATTGAGTCTGGGGAATGTGTTTTGCAGCCTTCTAGCCTTCTTTCCTGGAGCTGAGAACTATGGAAAAAGTGCTAGTGCGTCCCAGATTTTTCAGAAGCACTGTTTCTCACAAGTTGTAGCAGCAGGATAGGGAGGTAGGAATCTTTTTTTTTTTTTCCAAGTGCTGGGGATGAAACCTAGACAAGTGCTCTGCCACTGAGCTATACCCCCAGCCCAAGTAGGGACATTTTAAAACCAAGGGGAAATGAAACTTGAGATTGATATACTTTGACAATTCTGCAAAAATTGTAAATAGCTATAAACATAGCAATCAACTTTTCTGTTTGATTGATTGCCTTTTTTTTTTTGTTTTGGCAGCACTGGGATTTGAACTCGGGACCCTGAGTTTGCTAGGCAAGCACTCTACCATTTGAGACACACTCCAGTCCTTTTGCCTTAGGTTATTTTTCAGACAGGATCTCAAGTGTTTGCCCAGCCCAACCGTTATACTGCGACCATCTTACCTCTGCTCCCTCATAGCTGGGATTGCAAGCACACACCACCTTGCCTGGCTTATTTGTTGAAATGGAGTCTTGCTAACTTTTGTTGCTCGGGTTGGCCTATCTTCCTAGTAGCTAAGATTACAGACCACCACAACCAGCTCAACTTATTTTTTACTTGAAAGATACTCTGATACTCTTAAATATGAATCTGGGCTGGCAGAGTGGCTCAAGTGGTAGAACACCTGCTAGCAAGCATGAGGCCCTGAGTTCAAATCCTGCACTACCAAAAAATGTAATTTTGTTTCAGAACATAGCTTAATTCCAACTTTTAATAAAAGATAAGTTATAGGAGGTGAGGAGAGAGGGAGCAGTATGTATGCACATATGAATAATAAAACAATTTTAAAAATCTACTGCAACCATAAAAATAATAATAATAATAGATAAGTTATGTTCATCAAGAAAGGCTTCATATATAAGAAAAAACAAAAACAAAAAATAAAAATAAAAATAAAAAATAAAAAAATGAAAGGCTTCATATAAAATATCTCCAAATTAATGTTTGGCAAAGTCAGCTTCAAGCCAGGCACCAGTGGCTCATGCCTGTAATCCTAGGTACTCGGGAGACACAGATCAGGAGGACTGTGGTTCAAAGCTAGCCCAGATAAATAGTTTGGGAGACTCTATCTCGAAAACACCCATCACAAAAAAGGGCTGGTGGAGTGGCTCAAAATATAGGCCCTGAGCTCAAACCCCAGTACAGAAAAAAAAAAAAAAAAAGTCAGCTTCAGTATACATATTTTTGAAGGAAACAGTTTATAAGCAGCTAATTCTACATCTCTTTTATCATCATTTATTAGGATTGTCAGTTCCCTTGTGAGACAAGAAATTTTTTGTTTGTTTTTTGGCACTGGGGTTTGAACTCGGCCTCACACTTGCTAAGCAGGCAAGGATTGTTTTCTCTGCATATTTTACTGCTGCCTGTGACATTCATCACCTAGAAAAAAAATTAAATAACAACTTTCCAGTGCTTCAATTACTTTCTTTTTTTTATTATTGTTGTGCTGGGTGGGGTTACACCGTAGCATTTTCAAAGGTTCTTACAATGAATGAAATATATCATACTTGAACTCCCCCCCTCCACTGCTCTTCTTCATCCGCCTTCCCCTGATTCCTGGAACTGTTTCCCCACCACCTCCCCCTTCTCAACAGGGCCAACTCGTGGCCAGTCACACAACTCCCCCCCACACACACACACAGAATCTGTTTCACCTCCTGTTCTCTGATTTTGTAGAAGAAAAAAACAAACAATAAAAACAGAAACATGGCGTTTTTGCTAGTTTGAGAAAGAGCTACATAGGGATCAATTACTTTTTTTTTAAATAACACTGTACTTTATTACAAGATCTAGTATGTAGTAAGTACTCAAAAACTTTTTCCTTTTCTTTTTTTGGTGCTGGGGCTGAAACCCAGGGTGTGCTTCACCTTGAAGCTACACCCCAGCCCCAGACATAGTCTTTAAGCCAGGCTGTGGGACGGCAGCCACAACTTCAATAGGTGGAAGGCAAAGGACCAGAAGTGGGTGAGTGTTGCAGGGTATAGGAGAGGGAGGAGCTCAGCAACATGACTGACAGATGTGGCAGGACCAAGGGCTGCCAATTCCCTTGGCTTAGCTCAACTGTGCCTTCCTGGGTAAGGGGGGAGGCCCAGGGCTCTGGTCTGCTAGATTCTATCTCCAATCCTACTGCCTAGTTCTTCCCAATAGGGAACATGGGAGGGGTTCTGAAGTGATTAAATGTAAGGGAAAAACTGAGTTAGGGTGACAAGCTGATTAAGTCACACCTCTGGATTTTCTGGTCCCTTTTATGAGTTTATAATAAAATAAGACTTTGGGAAGGGAAGGAAGGGAGGGAAAGAGGGAGTGAAGAAAGAAGGAAGGAAGGAGGAAGTCAGTCCTCTGAGGGAGACGAGTAAGTGAAGACTAGAGGAAACAACAGCAAGACACAGGATATCTTTATAACTACAAGCCTCGCATTCTGCTTGAGTTCAAATACCAGTTCCCTTCTTATCTCTCAAGTATCTTTAGAAACGCTTCTAAATCTCTTTGTCCTTTGGTGTCCTCAAAAGTAAAATCGAGATAATACCTATAAGGTGAAAATTAACAAGAAATCCATTTAAAGTTAAAATTTAGTAAATATTGAATACTTTGTGGGGGGATTGAGCACAAGGCCTTGCACACACTAAGCACCTCTCTGCTAATAGTCTACACCACCACTTTCTATGCTTTTTTAAGTGAAATTAGAGTATGGCCTCAAATTCACACCGTGGATTGAGAATTACCTGCCAAATGCTGTTA